TGCGTGAATATTACTGTATACTTGAAATTTACAAACCTAGTGATACTTGAGATAAATCTAAAGATACTTAAAACATACCTACACTCGAAAAACACATCCCTCCTTCTGGAACAGTCAGTTAATAGCCGACTTTTATTTAAAATATTTAATAAGTAGATAAAAATAAAAATGTTACGTTGTCGTAACAAAAATGTTTAAGATTATAAGTCCGTAGTACATTATTTTCATATATCTCATAAGGTTTAACCAACGTTTGCAATGCAGGCGCACAACATTTCGTTTTAAACGACATCACACTCAAATTCCCACCGAGTATATTTCTAGGTAGTATTACCTATTACTTGGTACTCTTGTTAGGTAGCCTTGATCAGAACATGATGGTTAATTAAATTGGTGCAGTCAATTCAAACAACCATCATGTAGTGGATGGCGTATTGGTCTAAGCGGTCACCTCTTCGGTTCCACAAATTGTTGCACAGCGCATAATAAAATTAAAAATCAAAAAGCTAATATGTATTTCACTACAGCTATCGAAGAAGTCATCAAAAGGAATATTTTCTAAAACTGTATGTAAATAAATAAATACTAGATATGTTTTAAATAAATTTAATTGTCCTTCGTTTTGGATATGTTTATTCACATTTTTTAATCTAAGTTGGAAATTAATTTTGATTTTTACTTTTCCTACACCTCTTACAAATCAAATAATAACTATTGAAAGCAGGTTGCACCGGCCGTGGTCACAGGCTGACTCACAGTCAGTCACAGTCAGCCTGTGACCACGGCCGGTGCAACCTGGTCGAAACATCAGGCAAACCAGAGGTATGTAATACCCTAAATAAGAGATCGCGTTAATTCCCCTTAAATAATATTAATTATCATGGAACGCGAAAGTTTAAAAGTTAGTATAGCATGTCTTATTGTTGGGAAGCGGGGAGATCGCGCTTACTGTGCTGTCTTATTCTAGTGTATCCCTGTATCTGTAGGGAGGCACATAAGATCTTTTTTTATGTTTTACGTATGGAAACCTTATGACAGCCGGTAAGGAGAGATCCTCTCCAATGACTGCAATGAGGACCCGACTGTGACACCCAAGCCGGGAAAATTGTCAGCGTGTGCTGAGCCAAGTCTTCACTGCAATGGCAGTGGTAACAGGCGGGACTCAATTCCCTCCTAGCGACCGAATGCAGGTCCGAAAGCAGCCGTGCCACTTGGTACATAACATCAAAAACACATCTGTGTATAATATCAAATACACAGATGTGTATTTGATATTATGTACCTAGAGGTACGCAAGTATCTACACACACACACACACCTATACACACAGAGATAGATATACATAGTATTTATCTTTGTGTGTATGGGTGTGTCACTTTTGCAAAAAGCTTTAAGGTAAAGGATTGAATATACAATTGATAGAAAAATTGATGTGTTTGATGTGTCGACAGAAACCGTTAAACTATTTGTACAAAGTCAACAGCAGAAATTCAAAGGAACAAAGTCACTTGCAAAAATTTTAAACTCTTTGAACTACTCCCGATAGTTATATATTTAAAAAAGTTCTAAATTCAAAACAATGGTCCCGCATCGGCTGTTATCTAAACAGTGGCCTGCACTTGTTTATGGCACACAGAGACAATAGCGGCGCCGGCGCAGGTAGACCACACGTGTGACCTTGGCGAGTTGGATCTTACCAAAATAATCTTAACGTTAACAAATCTCTAAATAATTTAAGAATAAAACTTAAAAACAAAATGGTATACCGTAATGTCTTCCGTACAATTGTGTCCAATATGATGACAACTCATGAGTAGCCTTTTTTTTTTTTTTTTTCCGTGCGGAAATCCCCTCGGATACCACCTGTCGGTGGCATGTCGGACTCGAACCGACTAAAACCGCACGCCGTCTCGGGTATTAATAGCCGGGGAACCAGGTATACCCTAGAAAGGAAGTCCCTGGTAGACTCATGAGTACCTATGTGGAGTACCAGTCTTTGAAAGACATTCTTTCTTGGACACCAATATGTAAACCTACACATGTACAATGTTCTATCTGCTGACGTGGCATAACTAGATACTTAAGTAATTAGATTTAGGAGTATAATAGTGAGCGATTAGCTAAGTTGTTGACCCGTGGTGTTGTTCACAACAACAGTTCCTTTGGTTAATGTCGTCATTTGCGTCCATTACCCGCCGGATAGGTCGTGAACTACAAAGTGCTTAGTTGATTAGGGAATTACTTCTTAATTGTAACATTTTATTTGATAATTAGTGTTATAACAAAGAGGTATATTCACACCTTCACGGTAAGATGACCCAAAATATCTACGAGAATTAAAAATAATAATATTGTACCACATTCACACAACGCCATCTAGTCCCAAACTAAGCAAAGCTACTATGTGTACTAGACAACTGATATAAATACATATATACTTTTTTTTGTAAATACACATTATACATAGAAACACCCAGACAAAATCAAACATTAAATGTTCATGCACACAAATGTTTGACTTGAGGGAGAATCGAAACCACGACCTTCGGAATAGCAGTTCGTTACACAAACCACTACGCCATCGTATCGTCAATATAAGACCAATTCTAAATTAATTTGGAAAGCCTTTTGTCTATAGTCATGTCGCACCTTTATTCATAAACTGAATTAACTTAGAATTTCAATATTGTGGGAAATCGCATTTAAAGTTTGACATTCATGTACGTGCGAGTTCGTCAAAAAGAGAACGACGATCTCTTATCTCTGCCATTTTCATGGTATCGAGTCGGCTGTTGGATTGTTCGTGTTCTACTGATGAAGTTGATTTGGTATTTGTAGAAAACTCGAAAAACGTAAATTTTGAATTAATTCAGTTTTTTATTAAAGGTGCGATGTTTCATTACATTTAAAATAAATATCTTAAAATTTGTAATGAACGGAACAAAGATTATAACCAATTCATATGTAGGTATCTCTAATACGAATTTTACTTATAAATAACATCAACAATGTTAAAACATCAGACATTACACTTTACGCTGATGACACCTGTCTCTTTTATTTTGGACACAACCTAATTGATATCGTGAAAGAAGAACAAAATGATTTAAATATTCTAAACAACTTCTAAGACATATACAACATGGCCCTCAATGTTCTACCAATTATAGACAAAATTCCTTTATTCCGCGAGCAAGCAATGCGTTTAATGCTGCTGCAAGAAAATATGACTTCGAGTTATTTGCTACAAGCGCCACGCTAGCGAGACACAAAATAAGCAATAATTTCTTCTCTTAAATTTACGCCTTAATTTTGTTTTTATTTTTTGTTATTTTGGTTTATTTTTGATTTAATTTTATACCTACACTTGATCTGTTGTCACAAACAGCGATTAACGTGTTTCTAGTATTATAATTGTGTACCTATATAAACGTTTATTACTCATATTGTAAAGCGTGCTTTAAGCCTCTTTAAAATATAAATTAACTATGTATTTAACTAAACATGGGGATCAGTAATAGGCTTGCTTTGCAAACCTCTGCGCTAAACAAATCTGTCAAAGCTGTTGGTCCTCCAAGTTATAAATAAATAACCTAGTTTCTATCTAATTTATTAACTATTAATACGACAAATATTTCTAACATAGTTCTAGAAGGTATTTCTCAAACGATGTTCAAAAACAGACAATGGATATTCCAACAGGACTCTGCACAAGCTCATAAGGCACAAACCACGTAAAACTGGTTCATCGTCCGTCGGTATTGACTTCATCGGGCATAAAGACTGGCCCTCTTCTAGGCCAGATTTAAACCTACTGGACTACAAGACTACAATTTAAACCAACCGGCAACATTTGGAGGAGATAGTCTGCGCTAAACCTCATCGGAATTTGGAGTGCATGTATTCAAAATTGTGTACCGTGGGTGTCCCAACTAAGGGAGCAAACTACGCAGGACTGCAGCACTGCAAAGAGAAGAAAAACTTGACACAAACCCTATACCAACCCGTCTGGCCAGCGTGGTGTAGTAGGCCAAAACCTCCTTCCTATGGAGAGACCTATGTCGAGCAGTGGACTATTGAAAGCTGTGCATGATGATAATGAAATAAAATTGTATTTCACATTTAATTTACCTTTCATTTCATATATAATTTTTAAATAATTCATCATCATCATCATCAACAGCATCATTACCAAATGTTTATTACGATATATACTCGATTCGATATATCAATCATATATAAATATATATCGAATCATATATATATATATATCTTTCCTGTTGATCTGTTATGTTTATCTTACATTTTTACCTAATTAACTAAATAAACACAGGTTGCCCTAGTTCAGGCAGGCAGCGACTAAAATTTTGAACTAAATCTTAATATGTGTAAAAAATCATACGATACGAATCATACAATACTTTAATGAAGACCGGATGGCGTAGTGGTTTTTGTAACGGACTGCTATTCCAAAGGTCGCGGGTTCGATTCCCGCTCAAGTCAAACATTTGTGTGCATGAACATTTAATGTTTGATTTGGTCTGGGTGTTTTTATGTATAAAATGTACCTATGTAGTTATAAAAAAAATAATCTATGTATTTATATCAGTTGTCTAGTACCCATAGTAGCTTTGCTTAGTTTGGGACCAGATGGCATTATGTGAATGTGGTAAAAAAACAGTGTATCATTAATTAAATTAAAAGTTTTTTACTGAATTTATGACCTAAGTTTTTTTTTTTGGAAATAAATGTGCCCGATTGATGGTAATTATAGTCAGCAAATGTGGGCGTTAATTCGTTACCGTTAATACGTTAATTACGTTAACACACACCTAGGAGATCACACGAGATAAAGGTTTTAGTGTACGTGTGCATGATATAGACTATTCTCGGAATATTCTCTACTACGGGCGGTGTAACAGGTGCGAAATAAAACGTATTTATGTCATAACTATTGATATATATTGTACTAAGGGCATAAAACTAGACAACGAAATACACTAGACCTTCTGTTTGACGACCTGGGGCAGGTCGTACTTGCCGCGCACGCACTTGAGCTTCACTCCTGGACAATCCTTCAACCTGGAAATTAGACAAGATGCACTGAATGATGGCTCTTAAATGTTAGTCTACAACAAGCCGATTCCTCAACGGTTTACTAGCATTTACAGGTCTACGGGCCAGTTATTCTAGAAGTTAGAAGTTCTGACTGCTAGGCTAAAGGTTTCGATAAAACCCAGGACAAAAAAAAATGTAATAATAATAATAGTAACAAGCACGACCACTTCTTCTGCGTTCACGTTAAAACCATTTCAAGAATATGTGTGTATTTATTTATTACAAACTATGGAGGATTTACAGCTATGATGATCAGAATAAAAGCAGTCAAGAAAACAGATAGCCAAATCCTCACTTATATAAATCAGAGATAAGTTACAGTGCACAAGACAATACAGAATATTATCAAGATGTATTATGTATTATTTAGAAATATATAAGTATGTTTAGCAGCAGTGTGAGTCTGGTTACCATAGAACAGACAACATATATAGTTTAAGATCAGACGTAATTATCATTATTATGAAATATATTTATATATATATAATATGTCTATTAATTTATTTCCTTTATGAAACTAACTTTATAAACTTGTAAATTAAAACAAATATTTCTCACACAGTTTATGAGTTAATACTAACATAGAAAAACCCATAGCAATAATAACATTCATTCATACATTATCGGAATCAAACCTGCAAGTCATGAGGATGCAGTCAAATGCACTTAGTATAACCGCACTTTCTCTTTTTGAATTTTCATAAATGTCACCTGAAATATTCATTGATAGCTAATGGTGCAAAATTCTGTTGTTCGAAAACTCTCTAAACTAAACTAAAAAGTCCTGGCAAACAACGTCTCCTATTCAGAAAACGTAATATTTGACAGGACAATTTTTATTTTAGCGATTTTTAATTTAGTTTAGAGTTTTCGAACAACATAATTAGCCCCAATATCAAACTTTCCTTAACTAAACACACGTCGAATGGTAGCACTAGATAGCACTACACAAACTACACGATACAATGAATTTACCTGTAAATATTTATCTTGTGCTACTTAAAGCAAATACTTCAATGTATACCGTCCATATTTTACGACTTAGAACCCTCGCCAGAGAGAAATAAAAAGGGCACGTGCGCAAGCGCCTTTCAAACGATGTTCCAATGCCGTTATTACACTATAAAACATTCGAGTTGTTATTATATTGGCACAGTTATCGATTTTATTGCCTTTTTGTACTTTTCTAGTTTTCGCATTCCGTTTACCTACGTGTTAGTTGGTGCCAATTAGGGTGTATGTTTTTTTAATGTTTGTTATTACAGAATTCCTTTATTTATAAACCGATTTAGATCATTCCTTTTTATTTGTAAAACTGTACTTCCTAAAATTACATTCAAGGGTGAAAATTGGGGAATAAAGAATACAATTTATTACAATACATCATGACGTAGACGCATGTAAGTCGATTGTACTTTTAGATGTCGATTTAACATCGATGCACGTCCGTCCAGGGCCTCAATTCTGCTATTTTATGTTCACGCCAAGCCACTGTCATACCACTGACACGTTATTGAGATGCTATCGAGTGGCCATTGGCATCGGTATAAATATCGGTAGTAGGTAGTAGTAAAAATAAATAAATAATTTCCTTATAATTTAAAAATATATTACGTTTTTTTGAGGCAATGATTTATTTATTTTTCCAAATATGGCAATCTTTTTGATATCACCACTGATGAGGCACTGCCATTCCATTGCCACTATAAAGACACTAAGTTAGTGTAGACTATCGATATTTATACCGATGCTAATGGCCACTCGATGGCATATCAATATCGTGTCAGTGGTATGACAGTGGCTTGGCGTGAACATAAAATAGCAGAATCGAGGCCCAGGCCGTAATTGGAAACGGCGGCTTGGAACTGGATAATGAGAGCTTCATTGATGTCCTCTTAGGTGATTGACATATCCGATTTTTTCGGTTTATTAAACTGATTTTAAGACCAAATCTACGACAAGGTTTAAAGAAAATTGCCCCGTCGTAATGAGAATAGTGTTCTCTTTAGGCAATAGAGAAGTTTCACCACAGACCTTGCCAGCCTATAGGTACCAATATCCGTTTCCCTTCCAAATGTCTTAAAAGTACAAAAAGAAAGATCATAGAAAGCCCGAAGTAGCAAAGAATAGTTCTTGAACGTAATTACAAAAAGCTGCTTTTGTCCCTTAACACTGACCTGCCGACCCTGACGAGGACAATGTTGTGCTCCTGCAGGTTGTGACCAATACCGGGCACGTACGCGACCATCTCCTTGCCGTTGGACAAGCGCACGAGCACACACTTGCGGTTCGCAGAGTTGGGCTTCTTTGGCTTCTTGATGAGGGTCTTTAATACTACACCCTGGAATTTAGAGGCAAATTATCTAATTTTTAAACGTCAACCGTCTGCTGTGTGGTGTAGTTAGTAATAACGTTACGATACGAACCTAAAACTGAACGACCAACCGAAGCGGGCTGATGTGCCTATAAATTAAGGGTTCAAGCTAATGGTAGCTTGAAGCCTTAATTTGATAAGAACATTAAAGTAGTAATGACGACGTCTGTGGCACGATGGAGTCGATTGTCACGGCGTGTGATGGAGATCATGATTCTCGCTCGATTTCTCAAAATATTTGCATGTCTGAGCATGTCTGCATTGGCCTGGGTATATCATCATCATCATCAACAGCCTTTAACAGTCCACTGTTGGACATAGGCCTTCCTCCTTAGAAAGGAGGTTTTGGCCTACTATACCACGCTGGCCAGACGGGTTGCTACAGGGTTTCTTTCAAGTTTTCCTTCTCTTTGCAGTCATGTTGTCCTGCGTAGTTTGGTCCCTTAGTCGTCTCTTACGACACCCACGAGATGAATAGGGGTGGTGACACTCCGTATTCTTAACCCGTCACCACACGGACTCCTGGGTATATATTTATATATTATAAGGACCCATGGTACATTGTCTGGTCTGTATCTAAAAATTATTCATTGAAATTTCATGCAGCTCAAAGACCGCCGGATGTCTTCGGGATTATTATTTTATTGAGTATATTATAGGTACTATACTTAGTTCACTGACTATATGTAGGCAATCTTCCTATTTCGATGTCGTAATAATAGACTTTGATGTTTAGAAAAAAGAACCCTATCTATCGAGTTCTTATCTCGTCAGTTCCTAATTACCTTTTCGTTAAGAATGGTCCCTCCCGTTGACTTACATGACATACATGAAACGGACACAAAGGACATCCAGACTCAGAACAACAATTTGTGGATCACACAAAGTGTCGTCCCATGTGGGGATCGGACCCACAACGCTCAGCGCAGTAGTCCGCATACTACTGGCGACCGCTTAAACCACTACGCCACCCGTGTAGTGAGATAAATACGCAATATGACCACACAACATGACAAAATTACTTTATTAAACGATTTTTAATACATACCTTGGCAAAAGGATTGCCGTTGAGGGGATTTCTCGACTTCCTAGACTTAAAATGTGGGCCGGTCTTATGCATTTGGTTCAGCGAGGCCATCGCTCTTGACAACAGGCCCATTGGGTTGCAGAGTGGGATTGTAGGAGTCCCGGGCACTGTCGTAGTGGTTATCGCTGGAACTGAAACAGGTGTACCCAATTAACGCTTTTTGTACAAGTGTATTGTCAAACGTTACTCAACTATAAAATCTGTTTTTTTTTTTTCATATATTTACGGTCATCTAACACAAAACACCATCTAGTTTCACACTTTTATTACAATAGAATAGAATAATACTTATTTCATAAAGCACAGCATACAAAAATAGAGCAGAAATTAAAAACAACATGCACTAAGAATCTAAAAATCAAGTAAGGTATGATAACGGCAACATTTTTCAATGTGTCAATCTTTCATTTCTGACAGAACTGACATGACACGTCAATGTGCCACGTATCCAATGTCGCGTCTATAAAATTTTACTTATAATAACTATGTTAGTACTTGTCAACTAATACTTATCAACCTGTGTACCATAAAAAGCTTAACGTTGCTGAGAATTGTAGGCCGTGCTTAAGAAAATAGGTTTTACACACAATAGGGTTTAGGTATTACACACATTTATCGTAAGTCATGTCTGATTGGACATTAAATAATTAAAATTATAAATTTTATACAAAATTAGGAAGCAATCCTAAGGAATGGAGTTACAGCTGGTTTTTTAACGAAATTCAGTATTTTTTATTAGTTACGAACGTTTACTCATTAAATGTTGTTGGTTCTTTTTTTTTCTGACAACCTAAAACTAATTTAGTATTATTGTACGACACTTAGGGATAAACTATACAAAATTAAGAATTAATCCTATTTTTGTGAAGTGAATTAGAGCAGGTTTTTCGTCGAATCGGTCGTTTTCATCGTAAGTCGTGTCTGATTGTTCATTTAATAATTAAAATAATAACTTTTCTGTCAAAGTAAAAGTAATTTTGTATTATTGTATGATACACAGGGATCGACGAAAATTAGAAAGCAATCCTATATGTAAAAAAATTAAGACAAATTTGCCATCGAAAAACTAGATTTTTAGTTATTAAACAGCGTTTATTCATTTAATATGATTATTTATAATTTTTTTTTAAATCTTAAAGAGCCTTGGGTTATTGTATAGTAATTTGAAGCAGGAAAATGACCCTTTGCTCTCTTTGTTGATTAAAAAAATTCTCAATTTGAGGAGCGTGTCATATCCTACAGCAGCTAGCTCCGTCGGCTAGCTTCAGCTTTATTATTAGTATGCATTATGCTTATTTTTTACAGTGTAATTCAATTTTGATGACTGTTCTACATTTTATACATCAAAGACTTACTAATTAACTATTATTTATTTGTAACAATTGTTTTAAAAAGCATATAAAATACGACATAAACAAGGTATAACATTTCTCAAAATAAAATTATTTTCCAACCTTTAACTACCGTTGTGTAAAACTTGCTGTCTAAAGGACAGGTGCTAAATACACATTGTAGCATGGGATCCAACCATATAACTAAATGCCGAAGGAATATAGACTTTAACTTATCAATATAAGAGACACAAATCAAATATATTTTCAAGTATCGATAAAGGGCTAAATAATACAGTTACAGGAAAGGTTTCGAGGCGTTCACGTAATTCATATTGTATCAATTGTGGGCATTGTGTGGGCTTGCGATTCGACTCGCATAAGTCCACAATTTGCGTGGGACGCATAGCGGGGTGTGATTGACATGTCAATATCACTGGCCAGTTTGTGGTTTCTTTGTAATCATACAGTTGAAAGGAATATAGGAAATGTACAGTAACATTGTATTGCTGAAAAGCATGTGTGTGATCAAAACTTCGGGAAGTTTTTTTTTTTTTTTTTTTTTATGTTAGTTAGTTAGTCTGACTATTAGTATTAACTATCTTATTGGTCACTAACCATTTAGTTAGTACACCAGCACTGCAAAGAGAAGGAAAACTTGACACAGACCTTATACCAACCCGCCTGGTCAGCGTGGTATAGTAGGCCAAAACCTCCTTTCTAAGGAGAGGCCTATGTCCAGCAATGGACTATTTATGTATTTAGAAATATTTACTTAAATATGTATAATATATTAGCAGTCTGGTTACCATAGTACGAGACCTGCTATTTATGTATCCGGTAATGGCCAGTTACAGAATAATATTAAATAGTTATAACATTTAAAAATGGAACTCTGGCTGAAGAAAACAATTTGTTTCATATATCTGTCATTTTTTTATCCTTTGTGGCGTCATTTTGAAAATTGCGTGTCTTTATCAATCACTATGGATTTAACTCGTGAAAATTTTAATGATGATCAAAAACAGAGCATCGATGAACTCATTTCGACTTTTGGGGACGAAGCACCATAAAAACAACTATGTATTACTGGTTTAATGAGTTTAATAGAGGGCGGTCTGTGGTTACGGACGAATTTAAAGAAGTTCGCCCTAAATCGGTTGTTGTATCTCAAAATATTGATGCTGCGCGGAAACTAATAATGCGAGATCGTCATGTTACATATCGCGAGATAGAGGCGTCTAAATATGACGAGTATATATAACATATTACACGAACATTAAACCGTAAGAAAAGAAAATCCGCACAACTTGAGAATACACCGAAAAAGGGGTTCGTGTGGAAAAAAAATGTTACATAAGTACAATCAGGGTGCGTCAAAGCTGTCTATAATATCTACACAGGTGATGAATCTTGGATATATGCGTGTGATCCTGAACCTAAACAACAATCAACGGTTTGGGTGTTCCAAGATGAGCCGAACCCAACAAAAGTCATTCGTTCAAAAAGCACTTTTAAAGCAAATGGTGGCTTGTTTTTTTGGTATAAATGGATATGTGGCTACAGTGCCGCTAAAGGATCGTAAAACGGTTAATTCTGAATGGTATACGACTATTTGCTTGTTGGAAGTCTTTGAAGAAATAAGAAAGAATTACCGACAACGCAGAATCCTTCTTCATCATGACAATGCTAGGTGTGACACATCGGCCGAAACAACTCAGTATTTGGAAGATCAAAAGATCGAATTAACGGGTCATCCGCGGTACAGACCTGACTTAGCCCCCAACGACTTCTGTTTATTCCCAACCATGAAGAATAAATTACGTGGCCAACGTTTTTCGAGAAGAAGCTGTGGATGCGTTCAAAATGCCCGTTTTGGAGATACCACAATCAGAATGGAAAAAGTGATACGCAAAAGCGCATCGATAATTTCAGCGAATATTTTGAAAAGCAATGAAACTATAATAAATGCTATATGTTTGTTTCACTTAGTTATTCCGTATACATTAATAGCAGCCCTCCTACAGGATCTGCGTGCTTAGACATTAGACGGTCGTGTGTGAGTTGTGTCAAGTTATTATTATTCATACTTGGAACTACCAGGTTTTCAGTTTATCTGTGTCCCTTTGGTCTGTGAATTTATACAATTTTGTATAACTTGCGTAGACAACCTTTGGTTCAGAAATATGCTCGGCAGCATGATCTTTACAGCAATAGTTTACCGGAAAAACATAAGTTCTACTAAATAAATTTGTTCCCAGTTTCAGGAATCTACCTAAATGAACTTAAAACTGAAAACATTAAGTAGGTACTTTATTACATTACTTATATAGGGTATTGGGCCTGAAGCTATTTGGCCTTACTTTAAACTGCAATTTTAATCACAAACAGAAGTTGTGTTGGTACTCTATTGGTTATATTACAATTGTGTGAAAATTGAATTCGTGCGAAGCTGAATTTGGTAGTATTTGTGTAAGCTTGAAATAACAAACGCAACTGCAACCGACACTGCTGGTCACGTACGTGGACTGTCCACTGCACTGGCCTGTTATTGTTTAGTGTCTGAACATCCCGTGGGACTATGACGGGTATTGACAAGCTTGCATCTGCTAATGCAAGCAAATATGAGGCCGCAAAGTAAAAGAAACGAGCGTGTAACTTGGGCAAATTGTGAAATTATGTTTGCACCTTAGAATAAATACATAAATAAAGTAATTTATGCTTTCCGGCTTACATTTTGCAATAGAATAATAACGAAATACTTACTATTATTAAATACTTAATTAAATACTTAATGTCAAATGTGTGTGTCGTAAGAGCCGATTAAGGGAGCAGAAGGAGGACGACTAAGGAGGACAAGAGCACTACAAAAAGAAGGAAAACTTGAAGCAAACAACCCGTCTGGCCATCGTGGTACAGAAGGCAAAAACCTCTTTTCTAAGGAGAGGCCTATGACCAGCAGTGGACCAGTATTAAAGGCTGTTGATGTGATGTGACGACTATTAACTATATATATATATATTTGACTGTGTTGATTTTTTTAACTGATAGTGACTACCGCAAAATCATAACTGTGGCTCTCTCACGGAAGATATAATAGACAACGTACATATATAACTCGAGATATTGTATCATAATCAGAGGGTTTAGTGTGAGTTTATTTCATATCAAGTCGATGGTCACGGTGACGGCGTTCGGTGTTGCGACTGGCCCAAACTGAAATAAACTCACACCAATATAAGTAAATTTACTTAATAAATACTACATAGAGGTGTTGTTTGAACTTTATCAATAATAAAGAAAATACAAGGGAGTAATAAAATATCTAGCATCCAATGAAAAGAAAAAATAATTTGAACATAAATTTCAATCGATTCTATCCAAGAATGAAATAGATAAAAAAATAAACTATAAAATACATCAAAATAACAATGTTCTAGAATCTTATGACTTTGGCCACCAATGTGCAACAGTACCTGCTCTTTTTGCAGATTATAATCCGCTAATAGTGGGCATTGTCCACAGACGGACACACGGACTAAAACCGATTCTTTGACAACTGACTCTAGTTACAATAAAAAAATATCCCACACAATGGGCAAGAGTTAGACAGCACAGTCGTTCCCAGAATCGTAAATCATATTTGTGTAAGAATAACATTAATATCTGGCGATAACAATCTTGGAAATGACACAATGTGCAAGGACTGCAAGGCTCCTCAATATTGTGCTTGGAGACATACAATGTCTAGGTTATAGAGATAACACTGGCTATGAATACCAAATACATAATACATTTTT